AAAAAGAATTTGAAACTGAGGTATCACTAAGCATTTGGCTGAAAAAACTGGAACAAAGAGTACTTACTTACTGGACCAGTATGTTAGCAATAAACAGTAAGGGCAAACAGGAATAAAAAACATTGAGAGAAAGAAATGCCGACTTTCAAAATGTCTATTCTTGCATCATGGATTACCAGGAAATTCCAAGCAGTAGATCATGAATCTGGCTTGTTAAACTATATTTATGATCATTTCCTTGAGTGTCATATCATGATAAAGAAATATGTTGTGTGCCTCGGCAGTAGAAACATGTTTGCCATGGTGTCCTCTGTGCCTCCTTGCACACAGCTACACATCCAGCTGCAGCCCTGAGAGGCAGCCAGCAGGAAGGGAATCCCTGGCATTCAAACCCCCTGGAAACATTCCTCAAATTGTGTGTTTTTGTGCGTGCAAATGCGCATGTGAGCCTCAAAAACTCAACAGAACTAACATGTGGGCCCACTTAGAGAGTCGCCGCTTGTCCTATCCTCGTGTCCACCGTGGCTGAAATGTCAGTCGTTTAAAGAGCACAACATCAATTTTGTATTGTTTTCCCGGCTCACTGGAAAACCCAACAAACAATCAGCAGTGTCATGGCCAATAAGCCACAAAATCTAATCTTTCATTCGTTATAGCTTACGAACAATTCTACAGTTTGTTATCTTTGAGCATAACTTATTCAAGATGTTTTCAAGGCACTACTGTTTTAAAAAAAAAGCTGCAGCTCTCAAAAACATGACTGACGCAAAAGTCCAAGCCACATTTCCAGTTGAATTGAAGTTCAGTCCTGCCAAAGAAACACTTCCACCAGGAGTCGACCCAGCGCATATAGCCTTCTCTTTCTGAGGAATAAATGTGCGGTTTTCAAACAGGTGTTCAGGCTTTCAGCAAAGACTTAGTTAAAGTGGCTCGATGCTTAATACACATTTTCCCTCTTGGATGAAATGTCGGAAAACATTTTGGCGTTTAACAATCACACATCTTTCAAACAGAATGATGAAGAACGTGAAATGCTGACAACCTCACACCAGTCCAAGGACTAATCTTCCGCTGACAGACTTGACACGGTCCTACTGAAGCCCCCATTCAACCCTCGGTGTGAAAGGACAATCACTGCCGCCCTGCTGCTGCTGCATTATGCTTCATCAGTACTTTCCCTCTCATCCACTTCCTCTGGGGGGGAAAAAGAGTTTCTGTTCATGAAATCATTCAAAAAGAGCTGGGCGGCAGTTCTTATGAATGAGATTCCATACAACGAGAGGTACCTTTAATTAAGGAGCTGGGCGGTCCACTGATCAGGCTTAATAAGCTATTCAGATGGACACAACAAAGACTCTCTAACTAGGCTGACACGGGAAGAAAGACAGAAAACGTAGGTGTGGGTCTGATGTTCAAACAGAAACAGTGAGCAGCAGACACCCACTGCTACTATTGGCCCACTGCCTCTCTCAGGAGGGCCCCTGACCACAGAATGGCCTCTGCAGACTGCATGGTTCTTCAGGGGGGCCTGATGGAGCTACAGAAGGATGAGCAAGAGGCCACAACTGCCAGTGATAAGCGGACACTCCTGTCCATCAAGCTAACACACTTTGAAACATAATAGTTAGAAGCAATTAGTCAAACGTATCTATTACTAGATCGACAGAAAACACATAGACGACGACTGTTCTGCTTTTCTCTGATCAATAGCATGTCAAACTAAATATCATAGGGATTTGGTCTGGCTAAACAAGACATTTAAAGATATCAAATTGGAAAGAATATGTATTACCATTTTCCGAACTTTGAGTAGATGAATCAATTAATGCAGCTAAATAGTGTATTTATCAGAAAGTAAAATAGTCATTTGTTGCAGCACTAAAACATAAAATCATTATTTCAAAATGTCAACCAATTTAATAAGGAAAAAACAATAGACTGTGACTCTAAGCCTTCAGTAGCAGTCTTCATGAATCCAGTCCTGAGGCAGGCTCCAAGAAGCATTAGATATGTGCCGAGTAAAATCCAGAACCACATCAGCAAATGCCTGGCGGCCTTTTGTCTAGCTTACTGGAGCTTCATGTGCAGCCACATGAACTCTGCTCTGAAGCTTTGCAAAGATGCACCAACGCAAACAAACAAACATGCTTTTAAAGTCTCAAACGCTGAACTCAGAAAAAGAGGAGAACAAAACTACAGACTGATGTAATGTGATCAGTGTGTTTGGCACCTGTTTAAACCCTGGCGCCTACATGCTGTTTGCACTGGAGGAATGAGAGGGACTTTTGATTGAAGAAGTGTGAAGTTTTAGGGGTAATGGTTCAACAGCACTTCATCATCATCAAGAAGCCTCTGTTTTTCACTGCACACATTACTGAAGTGATGATAAGTAACAGGGCACAATGAGAGGTTTGACATAGGGCTATAAGGACACCTTTTACCTGTAAATCACTTCAGGCAGTCACTACCTCTTTCCATCTCTGCGACACAGACAGGTTGTTGCTGTGAATGCCGCTCTCGTGCAGCTGTTCTGCCTGTGAATGGTTCCCTGTGCGCTGCTCTCCGCTGTTCTCCTGTGAGCTGGCCAGGGGCAACACCCAGTGCTAACGTGCCAGGGGAGGATTTCCAGAGCCTCAACAAGAGCTAAATAAACCAGCCTCCACATCTGGGAGAGCAGCAACACTGGTAAACACCGGTCTGTACACAAAGCCAGGCCCTTGTTTCCCCTTAATGACGAGGGCCATGGTTTCTGCACTGCTGCCTGTCACACTCACTTAGACTCATCACTGTGCAAGTCACACATATTCAGAAATATTAACTTGCACCTGTACACATGGAAAAGGGTTAACGCGTCTGTATTCATTCAGGACTAGTGCTGATTTAAAGTAAGACTAATAAAAACGTTTTCTGAAGCAAAACGATTGAAAATATTTGTGTGAGGCGTCTGCTATCGTCTTAATCACTGCTTATGAAAAAAAGGCTGATTTTGGACCATAACGGTATCAAATGTGTCAATGCACAGATGTGAGGCCAAGCGAGTCTCTCCATTAGCATAACCTGGACTAGAGGACTCCCTGCTGGTGGAGGAGGAGGAGAGCAAACACTAGTGTATTGTAAGTGTATTGGGTATACACAAGTTAGTATATTATAAATAATCTTTACTGTACAGTAGACCATTTGAAAATGTTCTGGACAGTCATTTAGATCAATGAGAAACAGCAAACAGGATAGACAGGGTTTAGTATTCGATATCATTACTTTTAAGCACAGCATATGTCTCGTACCATCCAAAATATTAGAATCTGTATTACAACGCAAAGCTCAAAGCACTTGTATAAAACTCACCCATCATTGGAGCAGGTCATGAACTCTTCTTTAATCTTCGGATGCCAACAGCCACTATTCAGCATAGCTGTGTGGCCCTGGAAAAGGAAGAAAGTGAAATTCAACACATTACAAAGTAGAAGCCGATAAAGAGCCGGTGGAAACACAATAGGTGAAATGTTGCCAGGAGGAACCAATTTAGACAACGTGTTATGCAACCTTACAGCTCACACATTATGTGCAGTGACAGCCGTTGGTCTTCATTTATTAAATCTCCAGCCAACATTACTTAGAAAGGGCACTGGTTAAATATTTCTGGGGTGCTTTTCTTTTTTGTGACAATGGATGTTCAGGGTTTCTAGTGGAATCTGTGCAAAGCAACTTAAAGGTCATAAACTACGCAACGAGAAGTTCCCGGGGAGGAACCAATGATGTTGCCTGAGCTGAAAACACCTTAAATACCTCATTCACACTAACGCAAATCTGGTTCAAGCTCCGTGCTAGAGCTTTTCAGGTTCAGAACCGGTTCTTCGGTTTAGCTCCATCTCTTTTCACACTGCCCAGAGTCCGACTGGTGCTGCTTCATTGCGTCATCGTTTGCGTCATGACGTAACCGTTTGCGTGCCTGATTCATAAAGCCAAGGCGCGGATCAAATCAGTTGCATTTATTTCTTATGCTGCGTTTGCAGCAGACGCGACAAGACGCCACAATGTCCACCTTGGAGCTCTGAAGTGAAACCGTAGGGAGAGGTCAATATTGAGCTGAATATTTAGATATTTGATAGTTTATAATTTGAGAATGAAGTGCAGACAGTAAACTTTTGTCACAGGATCGGACCCACTTCCAATGTCAAGTAAAATTACTTTTCCTATGTTGCAATGAGGTGTGAGTACCAAAGTCAGTGGAATTCTTTAGTTCTGGCTGGAGCCTTCGTAACACAAATTTTTTTTGGAAATAACTGTGCTCCATGTGAAAAAAAATATCTTATATCAGATTTGGTGTCTTACTGAGCCTTTTCGACGNTTATAATGAGTTATAATGAGAGGTGATCAAAGTGAATGCTCAGGTTCCACCTTAACACGCAGACACGTTGCTTCACCATGAGCAGAAACCTTTATATATACAGTCTATGGCAGAAACACTGAAACTCTTGTTAAGTTTCTCCATCGTTGTGTACAAACTGGATAAAACGCGGGCTTTTTGTTGTCGTTCAGGAGTTGATCCTGCCCCTGCCCCCGCCTCGACGTAAGCGTGACGTATGCGGTGCTTTTGCTCAATTTTGACAATTTTTTGGTGCTTGAAACGAACCGGATTCCGGGGCTAAGAGGCTGCTCCGCTGCTGTGTGAACACGAAAACCCGGTGCTTTTTAAGCTCCAGCTCCGAACCGGCCCTGAAACACCGTTGGTGTGAATGAGGTAAAAGAGGCTCTCCCTTGAGGAAGTCTTTTTGGACCTTTAATTTGATCATATTGTAACCTTGACTTTGAGCATGTGAACTCTGAGGCAGAGCAGCACGCAGTGTCACAGCTTCAAACAGCTAGCTCCTTCAAGAGTAACCTTTTAGACATGTCCTCTGCTGGAGTAGTCCTGTGGAGAATTACTCATAACAAATGACTTCAAAGCGGGATAACCCAGAGACAGGCCTGCCAGGTCAGAGAGGAGCACTTCAGACATGACGTACCGCTTTCTGACAGGATGCTCAAGAAAGCAGAGCCTTGCAAGAGCAGGATCTGACTGAATAACATCGGTATGTCTGCATCAGAAAGAGGCCCGTCTATTCACCTTCAAAAAACACCACTTTAATAATGGATTAAAGGGGAACTGCTGTTTAATTGTTGAAAAGGTTTAATAACAGATTGCTTTTCAAAGAGGTTGAAGCTCAAATGGGATGTGAATTACTGCTTCCCTGCTGTGTGCACGAACCTCAAGACAAACAGAGACGCTTTACTATTGGCTCATTGTTAGGGAAAAGGAGCCGCTACCTCCCTGAACACATTTGATCCTCTTCCTTTAACAGATTAGGACAACAAATTGCCAAGACTAAAGAGAAGCAGACTGATGTTCGTACTAACAGTGAACTCAAATAGAGCAGGTTGATGACAAACAGCACTAAGAGTGGAAACCTTTGTGATAACAAGAAGCGACTAACTGGGGACAACAGTAGCATGTTCAGCTTGCTTTCATTACAGAAGCATTTAGCATGGGTTACTGCATTAAGTGCATTTCGAAGGTTTAAGCGAAGGTCATTTGTTGACAGACTCAAAATTGGAAACATCATAATTAATAAATCTATCAAGCAGGTGATGGCAAATTAAACGTGTTCATCTGGATGATATTTATAACAATTCTCCATCTTTTATGAAGAAAAAAGGCCAATGATTTTTCTGGCTTCAGATTTTCTGATGACGATGTTGCTCTTTTTCCCTTCCCTGAAGAGTTGGCAATTATTGGATCAAAACAACCAATTTCAAGACAATGGGATCTAGGAAACCGTGCTGCAAATTTAGCACAAATTATTATTCAAAACAAAAACATATCATGCTATTCCATTGCATGTGCACAAAGGTGTCTGTTTGACAAATCCCTCGGCACACAGCGGGATGAGGTAGAAGGCAAGTAAGTGCCTGCCAACAGAGGCAGAGACTTCATTATCACATGAGACACGTCTAATCGACTGGGACACTGTCCGCGGGCCAACACGCATTCTCATTGAAGCAAACTCTCCCATCAGATCCAGATGGGACTGAGCAGGACAAGAATGTAGGACAACCAGGAAAACACTACTTGCAATCAATGGGCCTTCACTTGCTCAAGTAGTTCATATGGCTGGTATAAACTTTGGCTAAATGCACTGCAGATGGCACAGATGGTTAGTGACCACCAATACAGCTTTCTGAATCACAGTAAAACCCAAACATGGGCAATACATTAGGATCCTCCTTTTTAGAAAGAGGGTACAAGCATAGACCACAAGAGTCCTGAACGCATGTGGTGGTCCTCTCCCCCTGATACTGCCTCTGGCTGGTGAATACAATACAGAAACAGAGCAGGACATGGAGCACCTTGCTAATATTATGCGCAGGCAGGATCCTCCCTCAGAACATGAGCAGCTAGCCTGTGTTTAGAGCAAGCAGTCACTCTTGGGCTGCTTATTCACTGTTGCTATAGAATGGAAAGCCCAAATGTCTGTAACATAAGATATCTTCAATAATTGTTCATAATAATTGTAATAATAATAATTGTTCTTTTCACTATATCTGTAAAGCCTCTTTGAGCACCTGTGAAAGCGCTAACAAAATAAATCTATTATTATTTATTATAATAATCCATGAAATGACACTGAAAACAATAAGTTACCAGAGCTCAGCAATCGCAGAGTGAGTACAATGTTATCATTTGGTTCAATGGCTTTGTTTCTGTTATGCACAATAGTTACAGACTGTAACCATTTTCAATCCCAGGCTCCTCCAACAATGCAACATAAATATAAGTAAGACAAAAAACAACAACAATTGTGCAAGTGACTAATGTGCAAATAAATCCAGAAATTAGAAGACAATATATATATGGAAAATAGAATGGGGTAAAATAAAAACACAATGTAAAACAATTACTGAACAGTGTAATTAAATACTGCTTATTGTAGTAATAATAATAATAATAATAATAATAATAATAATAATAAGCAGAATTTTGTACTGGACACAGACGAATGCTTTATGTGAAACACAATGTTACCTTGGTTTTGGCCATGTCCACGATGTACTGGTCTCCCTTCACACACTCCATGACATTGAAGCCATCGCGGTCCAACACCTTGGCCTGTGCATTGCCAGAAACCACCAGGATGACATCACCAGTGTTGCTGTACTGCAGGGCCTTGATCTGATGGCTGAGGGGACACACACACAGACACACACATTACACACATGAAGAGGACATCTGAGGGAAAGCTAGTTTTTGCATTTCCGTGGGGCTGATAGTTTCTGATAAGTGTCTTGTTTCCCGTTTGCAAGCCATCTGCGAGCTGCGATATTACAAGAGTACTGCACCAAAACATTTTTTATACAAGGAGCTCTTTAATCCTATAAAGGGTTCAGAAACCAAAACAAATACAGATATGTGTAGCTATAGGAACAAACAACACAACATCTGATGTACATGTGATGAAGGGTCTCTTTGTTCCACAACACGCGACAGACAGTCACACACACAACAACTGAGCAGTGATGGAACATAAGGGCATTTTCAGCCAAGACATGGAAAGAAAAACTACTTGAAACCCATTACACACATATTGTGGTTCTTTTGTTTTTTACATTTTACAGAGAATCATGTCCTTGTACAATGCACAGCAGTGCATACAATGGAGGACACACGCAACAATCTGGATACTTAACCAGAGTGGGAGCAATTGAGGTCAGTAGTAGTCAAATAGCATTAACACAGCAGGGGGCAGCTGGGGCGCCAATATTTACATACACTGAGCAAAACGCTCCATAGCTAAAATGAAAGGGAGGGTAACACCAGTGCTGTTTTTAATTGGGGGGCTTTGGCTTCTTCAAAGCCTCTATACAGCACCAAATGCTAATTTTAAATTTTAGTTTTAGTCTTACTAAGCTTGTAGGCTTTTAGGGTCAGAAACGAGGAACACTGGACCTCAGCAGCACAGCTTTCTATTCGAGACCAGCTTGTTAGTAAACCAAACAGACTACTCGATCACATTGTAATCAAATGAAATGTAGCGTAAACGTCTGTTAATAAGAGGAAACCTGCTCCAGCTCAGCCCACTGGTTCTCAAAAACCAAAAAAAGAATGTAATCTTTGATGATGGCTTCAGTGGAAGACAGAATAAACACACGCACACACACACATCTCCACCATCTGCTTCTGAAAGGCTCATTTTGAATGAAACGAGAGGATGTCACATAGTGAACGCAAGGCTCGATGAAGCTTAACAAATGTGTGTGTTTGTGCTTTGGCACAGGGAGTTTAATGGATGTTTGCGTGAAACTAATTAACCACATGTTAGGCAACTGTGTTGATGTTCCACGTTGTTCCCAGAAAATTGACTCACCACTCACAGGGCTGGAGGGATCTGAAGGCCTGCAGAGCCTGGTCCATCCCAGCAAAGTCCCAGAAGCGCACATCGTAGTCGTAACCACCGGTAACCAGACGGGCTCCAGAGGGGTCTAAGGCAAGGGCCGATACCTGAGGAGACAATATGCTTACATTTAAAAATGAAGAAATTATCTGTATGATTAAGAGGCCACCCGACCGTAGAAGGTCAAAATAATTGACAGTTTAGTCATACTCCTCTGAAAAAGTCAGCCAAAATAAGCAGAAGCCAAATATTTAAAGTCTTGTGTCATATTCAAATTATTCAGTGTGAAATGTTTTAGAACTGCAATAGAGTTCAGGATCTGGATACCAGATTTGCTTTACACTGAAGACATGGAGAATTCAAAACTACATTTTTCCTCACTGCTACAAAATATCAAGGAAAACAGACGTGCTGCCAATGCTATTGCTGAAAATCAGGAAAAAGCGAAGGAACATTGGCTAAAAAAATCCCAATAACTGAAAACGATCTCCAGATGTTTTGGAGTGTGCATCATTTGAATAAATGTGGTGCTGATTACAAGCCACTTAGGATGAATATAGACCTTCTTATTCTTCTTTCCAACAGAGCGTCACTGAATCAATTTCCACATATAAGCAATAATAACTGAGTGCTGAAATAAGTCCTTACCGTCCTGGTGCCGTGCTGAAGAGTGATCTCGTGGGTGTCTGGAATCTTCTTCACTGGGTTCTAAGGCAGAAAGTTGAGATGAATCATAAGGAAACAGTACAAACACTGAAGAAGGCTCAATTAGGTGTGTAATTATAGTTGTTAGCATTTCATTCCAGGATTCAATTACACATGACATTTTAACTGGAATAGACTGTATGGCTAGACATTCTGGAATCACAGCAATCACCATCAAAGGACTTACTGGGAACAGTCAATCTGTTGAATTCAAAAGGTTAGGATCTGAGCTATTCACTCGTAACCTAAGACGATTACTTCCCATATCTTGAATTTATGATGCTGATATATTTCGAGTGGAACAAAGAAAACCGAGGGGAACCCGTAAGAGACAATGTTCAGTTACAAACAGTATGAAAGTAGGTGTCTCATGTTGAAGTGTAACACTGCCAAATGAATACATTTCCTTGTGCTGCCATCTAGCGGTGAAGCTTCAATATTACACTGTCTGAGTTTATTGGTACTTTGAATGACCTAAGCAACTGTTATGATCTTAGTAGCACTTGTGCTTTTCCTTCTATGAGAAGTAAAAATGTCTACAGAAAAAAAAGACCTGTGTAAAGCTGCAGGAAGAGAGATTGAATGTTTGAACAGGACAAATACAAACTAAAGGAAATAACAAGGAAATATTGAACACTGACTACTGTTAAGTGGGTTGTTTCCAACCTACATCATCATCATCTTGTCCCTCGTCGTCGTCGTCATCATCGTCATCATCATCACTCTGAGCCGTGCTGCCTGATGGACCAGGAACTCGGGAACGTTCATCATCACCTCCCTCGGCTTTGTATTGGGGAGGCAGCGGAGGACCAATAAGCTCCGAGTCTGAGTCCGAGTCAGACCCACTGTCACTGCTGCTGTCACTCTCCTGTTTTCTCCTGAAGAAACATTATATTCTTTCATTTAAAAATGTCTAATATGCTTGACCTACAGACAGGTTAACTTCATCTGATAGTTCTCAATAAGAACAATCAAACTAAAATCCCTGGTTACCTGAAAGCAGCCGCTGCAGGTTTGTCTCTCTGGGTGTGGACTGATGGCTTTACTGATTTGGAGCTTTCCCCTTTCTCCTCCATCTCTTCAACCTTCTGCCGCTCCTCTGAGGAAGCAAAAATGACCTGGTTGTAGCATAGGGTTATACGCACCTTCACGAAAGAGTGAACAGCTTGCAATGTTGGTGAACGTACCTAATACACGCTGAGTCCTCTCAATGGCTGTGCGACGTGTCGATTCAAAAATGGCATCAAGGTCAAATGTGCGGGCCTTCTTACCTGGATGGATGAAATGACAGCTTGTTTGAACACTAACTGACGGATATTGTCATTGCATTATAGAATGAATTAAGTAAACATCTAAAGTTGTTGTCCATTTGTGCTTGACTGTACATACCAAACCCAGAGAATCCCATGACAGATGCCATTTCTCCATCACCACTCATATCGTCAGATGCTGCAGAAGAGGCAAGAACATTAATCAATACTGTGTTATCTTGTTTATCGTGGAAACTATGTTAACAATTGGGTTTTTTTCACATGACATTTGAAAAATAGAATAGAGCTCTCTCGGTTTTATTATATCCACACTTATGTTCGCATAGTCCATTGCAGAGGATTTAGTTTACAGGCAGACACTTGGATATCTGCCTTCATCGCAAGATTTAATTGAACTGTTGTTGCAAATAATAAATATAAGCCTTTATCGACCTACATTGGAGTACCAAAACAAGTTAAATATCCACCGTTTACACAAACGTGCTTAGAATAATACGTTATGATAGAAAACATTCAGATGTTAACTCCTGCCTGTCTGCTAAGGTTAACAATACTGTAACATTTGAGCATGAATGACACGTTAATATTTATCAATGGTTAGAGTGCCAATTATTTCTCGTTTGAAATACAATACCAGCTTTTCTGGAAATGTAAAGCTGCACTAGCTAACGTTACAGTTAGCTTTTGAATAAGATGGTGGAAATTGGTTAACATCATAGAAGATAATAAGCTAACACACAAGCTAGCAAGACCAGAAGCGATGCGAGTCTTTCACATAGCCTACTTGGCGTAATGTAGCTAGCTGATACATATCAAACAACTTGGAAGTACTGCCCAATATGACTGCACATACATGCAAGACATTTAAAATGAATAAACAACACTGAAAGACGTGTAAGAACAAAACGCTGTTACCTTCATCCACTTTGTTAGGGTCCATGTTTTCAAATACAACGGTCACCTTTGCCCTCCGGAAGTTCTTCTTCTACTACTTCTTCTTCTTCTGCGCTACTTGCGGCACCGCTGAGAGGTCGTTGCTGGAACTACAGTCTGGAATCATTCTCTTTAGATACAATGGTGTGTGAGCGTGTTTTAAACCTTTAGAGATGATAAAGCGCTATACTGTTTACATTTTTGTTTAAATATACACAAGACTGATAACAAGCATAGGATATGTCTTATGTAGGAAACGTTTAAAGACCCACAGCAACATCTAGTTTATTAAAAGGCAATAAAACAACTCAATAATCTGTGTGCCCAAATACTTTATTTAGTATGAGGAGGAAACATTCCACAACATTTCTTCTGATTGACTCTTTAGCCTCGGGCAAGTGTCTATTAATACAACTTTGCAGTTGTGAGATAACATGAGCTATTTAAAGAACTTTTATTAGAAAACTGTCACAATAAATCACTATTTCCCCAATGCACAATATCTCTTAAGAAAAGGCAATATTCAATATAGGCTCTATACCTACCCAAATATATCTCTCTCTCTCTCTCTCTCTCTTTAGGGCACAGACAAGAATTACAACAATACAAATGACAGGAAATCTCTTAAAATGCTTGAAGCCAGATATTTAATTGTCAAGTCTGTATACAAATAAATTATAAATGTAGAAAAACATACACAAAAAAAGCACAAACATACAACTTAAAGAAGACAACTATTCAAATGACAGTGCAACAAATATTCTATTGCAAATAATATGTTTTTTATACTTTATCAATAAAATACATATTTTTTGACTGATTTATTATCACTGCTGATCATATCTAATTTAATAAACATATATACATTGTAATTGTCATGCTATAAAAGGAATTGCAGTATATTCAATAGGAAAATACAATCTTGAAGTGTGTGTACAGTAATATAGTATCAATTGAAGTGTCCTTGTGGTTTGTTTCTCCTTTCCATGAGACCCTCGAGCTCAAGCGTTCTCTGCAGCCACCATCCTCTCGATAGCTGCCCAGTCTATTTTACTGAGGGTGCTGCCGGCGCTCTCAGAAAGGTTGTCCAGCCAGTCCATCGCAAAATCACCAGCTGTCGCACCATTCTCCTGCTCATCCACCGGTCCAGCCAAAACCTAAGTAGTGTACAAAAATGAAGGAAACAACGTCATCTATCAAAGAAGACATCAGTGTTTCCCATATATTGATTTATTTGTGGCGGGCCGCCACAAATAAATATCGTCCGCCCCACAAATGGATCTCATAAAAAAAAAAAAAGGATAAGTGAGGTGGGCTGATGATCGGAAGGTTGCGAGTTAAAATCCTGCCTGGACCACCACTACTAGTGTGCCCTTGAGCAAGGCACTTAGCCCTCGGTTACTCCAGGGAGAATGTCCCTGTAATTGGTCATTGTAAGTTGCTTTGGAATAAGGCGTCTGCTAAATGCCTAAATTGTAAATTATATTTTTGGGAGAATAAACCCCACAGATCCTCAACTCCGGTGTGTTTCACTCATAACTACACAATACAGAGCAACAAGAACGTTTGGGGGGGGTGCGGTGCGGTGCCCCCACAAATAGAATCATATTCTGTGGGAAGCACTGGACATACACGTATTAGTTTGTTCCATCTACAGCGGTTACACACTCGTCACAGATATATGCTAATATCTGATTAATGTGATCCTTACCATGTCCGACTCTTCGCTTTCTAGCAGTCTATTGGTTTGGGAAGTTGGTCCCCTAACGTTCTCCTCTTCCCTCCTCGTCTGCTCCCTCAGGATCCCTCTGCCTACAGCAGCCCCTCTTGAAGGACCTTCGTTTGGCCCCGTCTTCCTCTGTTGTCTGACAGGCCGCTCCTCACTCTGGCTGACTGTAGGCAGTTTAGTGTTGCTCTTTGTGTGTGTGAGCATGCCCCGCCTGGTCAGCTGAGACAGACGGTCCTTTGGCAGAGAAGTGACTGATACGAAACACACAACATAAACCAGTTTAATATTATAGTTTTTACAATAGAGAAAAAATACAGACAATTAAGTTAGTAAGCTTTTCCTCTTTTACCTGGTCTATGTAGTCCTAGTCTCCTGTGGTAATCCTCTGAATATCGTTCCTGATTCTCAGCAGTCCATGGACGAAGCGGGGGTTGGGATTGACCTGACTTAAGACTTACTTTATCATTAGCAGACACACTGTGAGCCCTAAAAACAGATAGACACGTTATTACTAGGTCATCCAGATGTTAACAATCAACAGGTTTGGGTTTCTGCTGAATCTGATCATCGTGGAATAATGAATGTTTAATGGTGTGTCCAAAAGCTAGATCAAAGTACAATTATTCTTTAATGAGACGAGACCCTGGTCAGATTACTGTTACCTGTGAGTGCTACCAGGGGCTGGAGCAGAGTTGGGTCTTGTACTGAAAAGCACTGGTAATCCTCCAGTCTGAGAAGCAGTGCGTAGGGTTACAGTGCTGCTGGGAATGTCAATGGCCAGAGAACAGGCTTCACGGGCCCTTTGATTGAATCGCTTCAGAAGCTCAAACCTAATATTAAATGAAATGGAAATAACAGTTAGGCACATGGATGTTTCTTGTCCACAGACAATGTTAACCGGTACATACTTTTCTTTTTCCTCTCTGGTTCTCCAATTTGTCACTTGATTCTTCTTTGTTGATTCCTGAAGGCGCAGAGCAGGCACACAAAAAAGTGGATATATTTTTGAAATAACATACAGTAGAATACAAGAGCAAGTAAAGAGCTTTGCATATCTTACCAGTGCTCTTGATTTAGGAAAAGGTTTGTGCTCCCTCTCCCTCAGGCTCTCTCTTTGTTTTTGATAAACAGCCAGGTTTTCCCTCTGTTTCCTCCTCATCCAGATCCGCAGCTCTCTCCTCTCGTCCTCCGGAAGGACACGTTTCTGCGACATCCAGCTACTTTGCTGCTGGTCCAGCCTGCGAGGGATTACTTTTTTAGCTAAATGATACATTAAAGTTGTTAAGGTAGACATTTGGACACCACTGAATTGTAGGTACCATACCTGCTGTGGAGTGCATACTCTGAATGGGACCAGTCCAGGTCAGACGGGGATAAATACCCCTCCCTCACCAACTCGTCTAACATTTCTGCTGTATCGGATAACCCGGTCTGACCCAGATCCTCGTCGGCCAATCTAGACACGGACAGGTAGAGGGCAGGGTATTGTGAAAAGGTTGAATAACCGAGCGGTAAGCACATCCACGATAGATATTGTGAGTTATAACATGGTTAAGATTTACTTAAACCTACAGAGAAGATATTCCGGACACGTCAGTCAGCTGATCTCTCATTTCTGATGGAGCAACACAAACAGATGAAACCTTTAACAGTTTGACTCTACCGAGAAAAGAATTATGTATTTGACGATACAAAAATAAAGAAGCAATTGTATTCATCAACTCAAAAGGCAGTTTTGTTTGACACTATGCGAGCCACTTAGGGTACTAAGTATTTAGGGAATAGAATGCATCTTTACTTGGAGAAGTGTGAAGGTTGGAAGGAGCCCAGGAGTCATTATGAAGCACACTTTCTTCCTCCTCTTCACTTGCATTTGGTTCAATTAAAGTGTCCAGTCGTGGTAACCATGCTGTTAGAGAGGGAGAATAAACCACAGAGTTTATAAGGTTTGATTTTCCAACAATACAACAGGGTTATACTGTATACTACTTTATCAAACCTTTACATTTGTTAGAACTTACAATGTCATTTAAAATTCAATGCGGCTTTGGCTGAGATTGCAGATGAATAGTTGTAGGTCTTACCTTCCCGTGGGACAGCCAGTCGGACAGTTTTTTTAACTGCCGTGGTAGTCTTCACATCAGGAGCAAGATGTTCAATGGTGTTCACCAGCTACACAAAGAACAATATAATACATATATTTCTCAGCATTTATAGACAATTAATTGCATGTCATTGTAATTAACGTAGGATAAATAATAACATGCTTATGTACCATCCTGGAGTTTGAAAAGTCCTTCTCCAGACAGTCTGCGATGTTCTGTAGAGCAGCCAGCTGGGCATCCAGCTCCGACAGGCGGGAGGAGAACTGGACTGCAGGAGGGGGGGGCGAGGCACTGTGAGGGCCAACACTCTGGGTCCTTAGAGCTCGACAGATTTCAGAGTCAGGCTGATCCACCATGTGTTGTGGAGAGAATCTCTCTGGATCCCTACTGGGCTCAATGCGGCCGAGTGACAGAGACTCCTCAGGGATACCTAGAGGTACAGTAATACATTAGGATCAAACTTTCAAGATGATGTGATTGTAATCAGTATATAGTATATTAGAAAAATAGAAAACACCTGTGTGAGATCTCCAGTTGAAATCCTCTGGAAGTGTGTATAAGGGTTGTGGATCAGCAGCAGCACCACTCCTTAAAACAGAAGTTGCAAGTACATGAAGATCAGCTGAAGTAGGTGAAGGAGGACGGACCGAAGGAACATCGTGTCCCAGGCTGAGACAGGGAGGCAGGTCCTGATGCATGGCTCCGTCTTCTAGATCCAAGACACTTATAAACTGGCGGCCATCTGTGCCCTAGGAGACGAGGAAAGGAACAGGCAGTGAATATAAAATACACATTAATAAAAGTAACAGGTGCGCTAACAACATGAACGATAAACGGGAAGTCACTGTATGATAAAACATGCTACCTTTATGTACCTTTATGTAAGTGCACAAGTCAGAGATCAGCTGTTACTAAGTTTGATTGATTTGAAACACAGGAAAGCAGGCAGAAATGTAATATGTGTTGAATTTAATACATAGTTTACGTAACTGAAATGAAGGAAACGGAGTCTAAAAAGCACCATTCACACACTTTTAGGTCTGCGTTGTATTTGTGGCCTCTTACCAGATTCCTCTCTGGCTCCTGCGGGGTCTCCTCTGTTTCTTGAGAAAAGTGCTTTTTGCCAAACTTCTGATTCCCTGAAGTTTGTGCTGGGCGCAAAAACAGATAGAAAATCAAATATTGCGTATCTTTCTATTAAATTTGCGACAAAAAAAGGCAGTGTGATATCTTTGTAGCTAGAGTTTTACTTAATTCACTCACGTTTAGGGCTACCAGCAGTCACAGATACCGATTTATCCACAAGTGCAGGAGGACAATCTGAAAAATAAAAAAATACTTTACTTGGGTACATTCTAGGTTTAGGAAACATGCGTTTGAAACAAACCAGGTAGAGCAGAGAAACCCAATGTATGTTACTACTCATGAACACTTCCAGTCAATTTCAAATAAAAGCAACAACTGTGTAATTACGTTCCTGCTGTGCGACAACAATTTAAACATAAACACTTTATAAACACAACCAGAACTCTAACTCACCTGGATCTGTGTTTGTGAACGCATCATGGCACTCTGGGGGATTTTTACACGTGGAAGCAAAAGCATGGAGCTCGGCTGAAGTGGATTCGGCCCTGTCCAATAATCTTCGACCTGTCAGCAGAGTATCAAAGGACCCTGGAAGTTCAAGTGAAACAGAAAAAGAACAACAGATCAATCCGGAGGTTTTGAAACAGTAGAAGAGAACAAAGAGACACTTGGTTTGACTGCAATTCATCAGAATGGGATCAGCGCCAAACTGTTATTATAAGTTAAGAGGAGGGTGCTGTTTATTGATGTAGCAGGAAAGTGAAATTATGTATTTAACACTAACCAAATTGAGCAAAATTGGCAACATCCTGCCCGGTTGTGATGTCTTCTGCAGCTTGAGGCTCTTCCCGTACAGGCTCCTTTGTTGGCTGGAGATATAACAATACCAACAAAAGATAGTAGAATGACCCTTAAGCCTTGGTAGTAGGGCTGCTCGATTATGGCAAAAATCATAATCTCGATTATTTGGGTCAATAATTGTAATTGCGATTTATAAATGCGATTATTCATTGACTTTGAAAACATCAATTTATTGGAGAAAAAAAAGTGAACAGTATGTTTTTAACAGTTGATCACCCTGAACTTTAAGTATAATTCAACTGAAAAACCAAAAAAAAAAAATTTTTTTTTTTTTTTTTAAATAATCGTTTTATTTCGATTACGTTGTTTTCGTAATCGTTGCAAGCCATAATCGTAATCGCGATGAAAATACGGTTAATTGAGCAGCCCTACTTGGTAGTAGTGCAAAAATACTTCTTACAAGGATTAATACCTCTAGTGTAGGGATGATAGACTCTTCTGGTCTGAATGTGACCTCTGCTTGTCTTGCCATCCCCGCCTTCTCCTCTCTCCTTTTATCCCTAAAAAACAACACCCAGTGTTTTAAGTGAGTAAAATCAGTATGATAAAAAAAATACATCAACAACGTGAAAATGAATATGTGATTGCCTCTTGCTGGAGCTAGAGTAAGGAGAAGTGGTCGCCCTTCTTTCTATCGGTTGTTCCACTCTGAGCAGCCGCAGTCGAGCTTCTGCAGGAGTCTGCCTCCCGAACGACAAACTGGTCAACTCCTCCATGGACATGAGACGGATCGTTGGGGCTGAAGGGGCTGCCTCGTGAAACATCTGTGGCAAAGACATCCGTTTATAAACCAAAAGGCACAATTGAATTATACCAAATTTCTTAAAACAATGACTGGTATTGCTTACCCTTTGTGGTCCAGAATCTATGTGCAGGAGCTTGATCATAGGTGCTTGTCCCATATGAGCTACCATAACAGACACAGGCCTGGAGTAAGAGGGTATGGGGAGTTTGGGGAACGTAGTGTTGTTTTGTGGAGAAGGCTGAACGCGCAGCAGACGAAGGCCCTGCATCGGAGCAGGTGCGTGAGCTGGTAACGCCGGAGGAAGTAGAGGGAACCCTTCCCTTACCCTCTCTGATGTCTCTCTCATCGGTTGAGAGCTCCTGTGACTTGGATCATGTGGAGGATTAAAGCCGAGGTGTCTTTTTGGAGCTGAGGTGGATTGGTTATATTCTTCAGGTTTATGGGTTGCAGGGTGTTGGTGAGGGGCATTCTGTTGGGGCAATGAAGGGGGGTGGAGCTGGAGCAACTTCAAGCCAAGGAAATGTGGCGCAGGATCACTTTGAATGCTAGGTGGCAACACAGGTGCAATGGGAATAGCATGACTTGTGTCAGTAGTGGCTAGAAGCCCCTGTGAGGTCGGGATTAACCTCCTGCTTTCCCCAAACTGGATTTCTGGTGACGCCGCCTGCACAGAGAGTGGCTGCATTTCCTAAATAAAAAAAAAGAAAACAGTTCAAAGCTGGGTTTCACTTGTGTTTATGTATTGCTTACAGACGTGCAATATGTCACAATTTAACAGAAAACAAACCTGATAGCTTACACCTGCACCATTAGCAGCAGATGGTAGATTCCCGTTGATGTGATTCTGGCCTCCTGCGTGGGAGGTTTTCCCTGAGCTCTGTATGGCAGGCTGTTCTGCAAGAATACATGCAGGAGCCTGACTGAACTGAAGGCTGTTGGATCCTGAACTTGGCACATGTGGCTGGGTCTGAGGTGGCACTGAAATGGGGGTTTGAAGGGGTAAGGCATTCGGTTGAAGGATGGCATTGGTGGCATAAGATGGTGGCACATTAGGGTGTGAGGAGTTCATGTTAGACTGGGCCAAAGAAGAGCTCTGCTGGGCAAGTTGGAGGTTAGAAAACGTAACACCCAAAACCTCCGTTAGGCTCATGTAGTGAATATGCTGTAAGAAAGAACGTTGGATCAGAATCAAAACTAGAAGTCAGTGAAGTCAAAAATGATCCTTTTGGTTTTCTTACCTGAACCAGTCTGAATAAATCTTCCCCCAGACGCTGTCGCATTGGTGAAATCTGATTGAATAATGGCTGATCGGGGGCGGTGGGCTCTGCAGGGGGTGCACCAGCTGTGGAGCTTTGAGGTTGAAGGCTTGGAGGATCCACAGGTGTGTTGGGGAGCAGCACTCCAGTCGAGCCTGAAGGCTGTGCATCGGCCACTGCCTCAGGCTGCACAGTAGGAACAGCTTGGGGCTCTTCGTGTGGGGGGGCTTCCAGGCTTATAGCTTGACTAGGGCTTGAACAACAAACAAGACTGATGTCAACAGCGAACAGCAGGGATTGTGTTTTATTCAGTTTTTATAATTTCACAGTGTAGTGTTCAAGAAGTCAAATCGAAAATAATTCTGCAACCTTCTGCTAATACAGTGGTACAGTGATGGATTTTCTAAAATGAAAAACGTTAACGCGTAAAAGAAAACTTGTGTAATTCCTAAGTGAACAAGTTTACTGAACAAACTCACAGAGATGCAGAGCTGGACACGTCCTCAGCATTTTCTGGGAGGTCCAAGTCAGCAAGCTTTAAACTCTGCAACAAACAAAACAACAGTTCTTTGTGTGTTCTGACAGTCGTGATGATATACAGTATATGAAGAACGGGAAAGCTGATTGGTACCGTTTCAGGTGTGCAGATGTGTCCGGAGATGCTTTGATTGGAAACAGAGGACGACACAGCCAAGCCCTCACTGTCACTTTTGCTTTTGTCTAGAAATATCAAACACATCAATTAATATACTGGGTTTTTGAGGCTCTGCATCAAAGAGACTTTGATGATCCAATAACGTAGGTTGTCTACCCTCTTTTTCAGATGTAACCTCTAAGTCATCAAGAAACAGTTGTTGTGAACTTGATTGTATCTGCTGAGCATCAAAGGTTTGTTGATTGTGGTCATTAGGGAAAGTCAGGTCGTCTGTGCGAGAACCACTGCAAGGAAACAAATAACATATAAATACAATAGGTTATTCACATTTACAGTCAAATGTACAGTTACTGTTTATATGAAGCAAAAGTCAAATGAAGAATGCGTAAATACAGAACAATCGCCTAATGAATATGATTAACTGTATAAACTAAAAGACACATGTACTGGTTGATTTAATTGTCTAATAAACCATTGGGAACTTACATGGACATTTCTCCGTGCTGTATATTGTGATCAAGACCAATGATGGGAGTGTGGGCAGATCCCGGGTAGCCCGTATCAACACTGCTCTCTCTCTCCAGATTCCTGTGCTGCCCCTCAGGGTGCAGCGCAGGGGAAACGGTCCATCGTGTCTCTGGAACTTTGATGTGTGCACTGTAGCGGTCAGTCCCGAGTAGAGCGTTGTATCTGAGCTCCAGCAGGTTGAGTGACGTGAGGACAGCGGCCGCAGAGGCTTTGACTCGCATCACTACTCCTTCATCCGCTGTGCCTCCATCCGCTCCTCCCCTGTCTTTCTTCTTTTTGCCATGATGTCCCAGAAGCACCCTCCTATCAGCCCAGCGTACCATCCACTCCAGCAGCCGGCCCAGCTCTGGAAACTGGGCTTCCAGTTTAGGACCGAGGCCCTGCTGCAGTTCAATGACAGTCTCCGCGAAGGTTGATGAGCCAAATATGGAGCTCTGTGAAGGCTGCTCCGGGGGGAATACACTTCGCACAGGGCTGGTTTCAGAACCAAAGAGCCCTCCCTTCATCCTCTGGCCTACAGTACCCTGCCTTCTGAGGCCAAACAAACCTTTCTGCCTGGGAGGAGAGCAGACAGAAGCTCTGGATGCGGGAGCTTCACTCCAGACGGAGGGCTCCGGTGTTGCACTTTGTCTCGCAGGCTTGTAGCAGCTGCCAGCTCTGAACACAGGAGGGTCATTGCCCAGGTGTTTCCGCGCTGCATGGTGCACATCTCTTTGACGGCGGTGAATAGTTGTGAGCACATCGAATGAGAGGGAATGCAACTCTCTCTCCCGCAGCTGGGAGGAGAAGCCTTTTAACAAAGGAAGTTCACCGGCTGAGTCCCCATCATCCTTCTCTAGCACGTAGCTGAGGAAGAGCTCCAGGAAATTAAGGTACTCGTCATCTTCAAGCTCAAACTCCCAGGTGCCGACCACTGGCAGAGGGGGCCGCTCGTTCTCCGTGGCAACGCCCGGCTGACCCTCCTCGCGAATGACACTTTCGATTTGAACAGCTGTCTTCTTTGCATGTTTTCTGCCTTTTACCTTCTTGGCTTTTTTGCCCCTGAGAACAGCACCACAGAGCACAAGATAAGCCACAACATAGATGCATGATATCACCGTGTAATGGTAGAGCTACGATCCCCCTCTAGCTACCTTAACTCAGGAGAGATAGCTTCAGACGTATCCACTGTGTCTCCATCGCTGCACACTGGAGGGAACCCACAGTCAGTTAGAGTGCTGGTGCTCAGACTGGTACCCAGAGACAGTTGCCTCAACACGGCCATCCCATGTTTGCTTCCCCTGTCCTCCACCTCCTCCTCCTTCTCCCACAGGTGGAGCTCAGGTGGTGCCAGGTGCCTCCTCAAACGCCCCAGATGTTTTCTCCTCAGCCTGGATTTGTCTTGAATCACGATCATCATCAACTCGTTCTCCTCCGCTTGTTCCCCATCTAGAGAACACACAGAAAAATGTAGAGTGACATTTATAAGTACTGATGTTTGTTATGATGTCATGGATAATAAGTAACAACATCATCCTAAATTCTAATGTAGTAAAGCATTGACAATGATAAGTTAGCATATAGTGTTTATATATACAAAGTAGTACTCAAAGCACAAAGACTGGTGTTTGACCCGGCTTAAAGACCATCATTATTATTTGGCTTCGAGTATATTCTTTATAATTTCTCATAGTTACAAAATAAAGTACAAATGATACAATGTAGCCATCAGATAGGTTTAAGCAAAGTTAGGATAAAGAAGTCAATGTGATCAAAACTGCATGCCAACAGTTGAAGTGCTATATGATGCTTTAAAGTCACTTGTTCAATGAGCAAAGGTTTCCATACCAAGGACATTGCATCGCCTCAGTCTCTGCAGCTGGGAGTTATACTTTTCTCTCAGAGCCACTCTCACAGACTCTTCCTCCTCTGGGAAAGCGCGCACCAAAGTGTCTGCCACCTAAGAAGAAGAAGAAGAAGAGGCAAGGATAAGACATTGGGTCCCATGAAAGGCACTATAGAAATCTAAGCTATTATTATTATTACCAGGGTTCATAGACTTTTTCATCAATGATTTTCAATGACTTTTCCATGACCTTTACCTCATTTTTCATGACCAAAAACATGACTCTTTCTCAGCGGTACCACTGAAAATGGTTTATTTGAACATGGAACAGGAACATAAGGTCTGAAACATGTTGTGCCTATCTAAAACAAATCAAATAGTAGGCTCACTAGCTTCTACACGCTAAAGCAACTCAAATCTCTCACCAGCAAAACACCTCGACAGTTAAATGCCATTTTACGTTTCATTACTAAACGATACAGTATGTATTATCATTATAGTATTACTATTTCGGCGATTAGATAAAATATAAATTATATTTGATGCAACTTTAATTATTTATATTTCCATGACTTTTCCAAAAAAATATTGTTTTCCATAACTTGTCCAGGACCTGGAATTAGCATTTAGAATTTCCATGACTTTTCCAGGTTTTTAATTACCGTAACGCAGCGTCCACACAGCGGCGTGCGTTGAAGCTTGCCGGTGAGCTTGTCTGAAACTCGACCAACAACCAATCACATGAATCTCCCGCCCCGGACACACAAGCAAGCGGTTTGATTGGCTAGAGCTTGTACTGGCATACGATTTGATTGGCTGACGCTTCCGCCGAAGCTTCAAAAGTTGAACATTGCTCAACTTTTGAAGCGAGCAACGCGAAGCAACGCGAAGCAACGCGAAGCAACGCGAAGCAACGCGAAGCAACGCGACCACGATGCAGTTCGGCAAAGCGTGACGTCACCCCATTCCAAGTGAATGGGCAGAAGCGTTGAAGCTTCAACGCACGCCGCCGTGTGGACGGGCCGTAAGAACCCTGTATTATGTACTCACTCAGGGTCAGTCTGTTAAACTTATGAAAGTAAAGGCAACACATTACCAGGGAAAGAGGAGGAAGTTCAGACACAAGGCTGAGCAGAAGGTCCTGGAGGATCTCCTCAGCGTTGAGGAAGCAGGAGAAAGGCAGGAAGCGACCGGCCCAGCGCAGAGCATCGATGCAGGTCGATCTCACGTCTGAATCGCCAGGGGTCTGAGGGGTACAAGTACACACATTATGGAGCCTCTATGGCTGAGAATGACTTCCATAACGATGTCACACAATCAAATGGATTACCTGCTCATCTCTACCCTGCTGTCTGGCGGCCTGATACTTCCTGCAGGAAATGGAGAGCTGGTCCCTGACATGAAGCATCCAGCACAAACCACACAGCTCCCTGAAACAGACTGGGAAAAATAAAGTTGATAAGTACTACACCTACACGACAGTAGATTATTGATTAGATATCCACCATTTACTATATAAGATCTCTTACTAATAGTTTGAATAGTGTCGGGGTCCAGATGACCATCTTTGTTAGGCCCCCGTTTGAAGAATCCACTTCGGGTGACAAACTTCATCAGGCCTTCTGGAAAAGCCTTTTCTTCTTCCTTAGCTGATGGATAGGCGTACTTCTTCTTGATCTGAAAACAAAGGTTATAGTAATGCTTCAATTAGAGAGTGTAGCAACAAAGATTTGGCGTTTCCTTCGGTTAAAAGTGTCTCATCAAACAAACTTGTATTTGCAATGCATGAAAGTGCAACAAAGAATATCAGCTTTGTCAGCATCACCTACGGAACTTGTCTTTTTCTTATTGAACCAGATGTTCTTTTTCAAAACTAGAAAGTACCTTGTGTAGTACATGTCTGGCACGGCGCAGATCTCTCATGTACCACTGGGCAGCAGGATGACAACAACGAGCAGATCTCAGAAGTAACAGTAATCTTTGGAGAACTCCAGACACTTTGTGACGGGATGCAACTTCTGCAAACTGCCCTATTGTCCCAACTGGGTCCTAAGCATGAGACACAGACAACATTTCATCAGAGAATTCATACATGTATGTAAACAAACGGTATGAAATGGTTTTTGTTATGTACCTGTGTGTTGGGGGAAGGCTGAGGGCAATAGAGTGGGGGGGAAGGCAGATACAGTCCACTTGGCACCAACATTGGCAGGCAGGAACACAGCTCTTTGGCTGTCTCCAGCAGGGAAGACAAGGGGGAAGACAACACATTCACTCCAGCCATGACTGAAGCCTTCAGAATCTCCTGGATGGAAACCTGTAATAAGTCCCAGTCTTCTCCTTCAGAGGGGTCTAGTCAAATGAGACAAATCCAAGGTTCAAATCCAAGGAGTTCAATATGAATTATTTTCATCTTATCACTTTTCAGGTCTCACCCACCTGTGAAGCTCTTGTCACCATATCTATCCGTGGACCCTTGGGAGTCAGACATGCGTAGAAGACACTCCAACTCAACCTGAAAAATGCTTTCTGGTTCTAAAGCGGCTGGGAGGTGCAGCTCTCTCCTCCTGAGCCTGTCATAAAAGATATAACTGAGATGGTAAAAGATCTAATACAAATTATCTTTACATTTCATTCACCGCTCAACGAAATGGAATGCCTTCACACTGACCGGGTGAAGTCAAAGTGGCCGGTGCAGTAATTGGTATAGGCCAGGCTCAGAGAGGCCGCTGCCTTCCAGTCCCCAAGATGATAAGCTAACCACACGGTCTCAGGAAGCAGACCCCCGAGCAGCAGCAGGTCCTGGGCGTAGTCTACTGTCCACACCTCTGACAGATGCTGCTGACGCACTGCTCTCGACACCTCTCCATGGCACAGTGGCACCAAGCGCTCCACACCAGGGGCTGAGAAAGGGGCATACTGAGTTACATAAAGATAGAAAACAGCACTAAAACTGTTTCTAACTGACAAATGATTTTTTTTTTAAACTCACCATGAGGTAGATGAAGTGGAGGCAGAACGGCCACATGGTGAGGAGGCAGGATGCAGAGGGGTTGGTTTGTGAAATAAGAAGCCATGAATCTCCCCAGGGTCTGAACCACAGCACAAGCTGCGTCACTGTGAAGGTCTGCAGGCAGCCATGGGCAAGGGAGAGAGTCTGCAGCAAGACAAAAAGGCAGATGATTCATTATTACTATCACTGACTAAAGCTACTGTGAATTTAGTATGGGCTTTGAGGCTAGGAAGATCAATGATTTTAAAAACAGCCGTCCTAAGGAGAGAAAGACTTCAAGGTATGAGGTTACATCAAACTATTAATCATCATGGATAAAGACCCTACTTTCAAGCACCTGAGTGAATACATGAGTGACAAAGGGATCAATAACTCAGAAAATGTTCTTGTCCCAAGTCTTTTCAGTGTGACAAAGCTTACTCAAAGGCCAGTATGACATGTCGTAGATGTTTTTATTCACTTGTACAGTATATTCAGTTTAATTTCCATAAAGTGACTCACACACGTGACATTTCTCAAAGAGTAATCATTGTCCAATGCTGACCTGTTTCAAAGGTCACGTTGTCCCTCTGGTGTCCGGTCCTGTTCAGGATCAGACGGGCCATGTGGTCTCCCAACTCCTGAGCTTCTCTCAGATGGTACTGGGATAAGAGACTGTACAGGAGTGCCAGACAAAGCCGGGTCTCCTTGAAGACGCTACGATCACAACCTAACAAAAAGGACACATACTTATTTAATACATGATATTACGAGTTCATACTGAATGTGAACACGTGGTGTGTGTTAGTGCAAAAAAATGAAGGAAGAAGTTCTTACTTTTGTTACTCTGCTCACAAATTTGAAACCGCAACGTTTCGGCACTTTTTGGGTACGAGCCACACAGGAAAAGATGTTCGCCTGGAAGGAGAAGAGTGAAATACATCACCCATAGGCTATTTAGTGTCCTGAAGCTGGTGCCTTGCCCATAGTTATATGAATAGTCTTGCTATTACAGACCTGTGTAACTCAGCAGTGCAGGACCCTCCTCTAGCCTCTCTCCTGTTGCCTGCAGAGCTGTTTGGATCCGGGACATGATGACAGACAACCGTTGCTGTTCCTCCTCCGAGCCATCCCAGCTCTTTAGTTCTTCTGTATACTGCTGGGAGATCTTGTAGACCCACTGCCACACTCCAAACAATCTAGCCAACAAAAAAAAAACCACCAACCTTTTTTGACATCCCATCTTAAATCCCAGCTAAAATGATATGCAATGATTAAAAAAACAAACACATAATTGACTATTTGCTCAAAAAAAGCCAGAGATGGTGCGTACCTGCTGGACGGCCGCTGGGGAACAGGTCGGGCCTGATGTACAAAGCTAGATTTCCCTTCCCTGTCATCCTGTAACAGAGGCACATAGTGTACATCTGAGGGCCAGAGCTTGGAGAGAGGTCCCTTCTCCGCAGAACACCAGACAGTTCTTTGCTCTAGGCTGTAGGCGTGATCAAGCGAATCAGAGACCAGCCCCAGGATACGCAGGACTGATGATAGACCGTGAGATGATAACTGACAGTGACCGGTCAGGTGTGACTCAGGTTGAGGGGTCAGCAGGAGGCGTATCAACCGTTTACTGAGCTCTACCACCAGCCCCAGGCAGCAAGGCCCATCTGAGTGAGGGCTATCCCAGGGAAGAAAAGATAGAAGAGCTTTGAGAAGGTTCAAAAGGCAAACTGAATTATTCTTTGTCTCTGTGTGGCCCACGGGGCGAGGGGTCAGGTGGAGTAAAGCAGCAAATCGCACCACACAGTAGAGCGTGTGCTTCAGCAGACGAGTTCTGTTTTCCACAGCGTTTCCTAGAGACATGCCAAAAGCCCAAGCTGTCAACAGCTTAGTCTGGATTTTCCCAAGTTCTCGATGAAGAAGAGATGTCTTTCTCTCTGTTTCTTCAAAGTCTTCTTCAAAATCTGGGTTAGTAACAGGTCCAGTCTGTGTGTCCAGGGCGTGGAGTGTGTCAAACATTGAGGCAAACTCCAGACGGCCGCCATCCTCCATGTGAGAACCAGCAGGAGGGCCATCTACATCAGAGTCATCTTCAAAGAAAGTCTAGGAAACCACAAAAAAAAGATAGCTAACGAACATAAATCAACTAATAAAGCACCTGTAATACATTTGTACTCAAGGTAATCACATGTAGTCATTTTCCCCGTAAGCAGGCACATCAACTTTAAGACACTCCTGATGAGAGATCATACCTTTATGTAAATGTGGCCTGTCTGTGAACTGTATAAAGCCTACACTAAACTCAGAATATGAAGCAATATATTTCTTTCTTATGTTCTTCAACCCACCTGTACTCTTTCAAGAAGCTCCGTGGTACCACCTAATGTCCCGTGATCCTGCAGGAAAAGTGGCAGAGTGGATCCGTCTGTTGCTACAGAAACCACAGAGTCTGCAGTGTTGGGCCCACGTGTGAGAAGGCTGCTGTCAACATTCAGACAAGATACAGACTCCAACCATGCCCTCACATGAATCTGAAGAAACAAATATGAAGAGTATTGTCAAGAGTAAACTAAGAACATAAAAAAGATGAAGCTGAGGAAGATGCAGGTTCCCACTTCTACAATCCCCTGGTTCACCTGTGATTTCTCCAGTGCCCGGCTGGCCTTCTCGAGGTCCTTGCTTGTGTCGTTCAGAAGTGTTTTCAGCAACAGGGCAGGAGTAGGCTTATCTAGCACCCTCATAACTGTGGCCATGTAGCCATCAGACACAATGAGGTACAACAGCCGTGGATGCCAGGTGACAGAATAGCGCTGCCTCAGGACATCCCGCACCGACAGGCTAGAGCTGGACAGAGAGGCGTCCTCCCTCCCTGCAGACATTGGTGCCCTGCAGAGGGAAAAGATCGAAAGTGTTCATCACAGACATTAAATTAGTGATGTCGAATTAAAGGTGGGGTAGGTCATTTTGGAGAAACCAGCTCGAGTGCGCTAGAATTAGAAAATACACAGCCGGAACAAATCTGCCACTTCCTTACAGAGCCCCTCCTCCAACACACACGAACGCGCACATGACCAATGAGGGCACAAGATAAGTTTGTGCACAGATGGAAGGCTGACAGGCAGGTAGGCCATCCAGTTACTAAAATAATTGGTGGTGCTTTTTACAGCACTACGGCTTCCACAGATGCATTTTTTAATGGATTTTTTGTCAAAGCACTTCAGATATTCATTGCTTGGCGAGGACTGGGACAGCGACGTCGTCTTTTGGGCGTGAAAATTTACCAGTTGGATGTTACCATTAGTACTACATCGTAGTCGGACTAAACATTCTCGAACTTCCTGTCCACTTAGACCAATAAAGAATGGAGACACCCTAATGGGGGATCGGGGTCCCCGAACAAGAGTCCTTTGCCCTGTAGCAGAGACACACACTCGACCGCCAACGTACACTAACGGAACCCTTGTAAGTTGAACTTATGTACGAACCCCACGTGTTTGTTGTTTGCGTGTGTGACCTGGCGTCAGTGTGTGGCTTTCGGTTTGAGTGGAGCCTTCCAGAAAAGGGTCAAACTAATGTGGAACCCCCACATAAAAGTGTAAGTGAACACCCGAACGGATTGTTGGAAGGAGGAGACTGGTATAGCCATTTTTACAGAACGCGATAATCTTGGTGGAGTTATGTAGTAGTTCGTAAACCAATGCTACACCGCGTTAAGGATATGACGAGCCGGCGGTAAGTACAAGGGCGCGGCCGGTTGATACGAGTCACCGGTTCGTAAATTGCTTATAGGTTGTGGTGTCCGGAGACCTGGAGGGTGTCTTCCGTTGGGGAGAGAGGGAAGAACCTGATTGTCTCTCCTAAAGTTAGACTTTACATGTTACACCGGCCTATTACAATTGCGAGGTAAAGTTTGTAATGTCCGACGGCAATTTCGGTGTAGAGATATGATGGTTGAAAACGTCGCCAGTGACCAACACACGTAATAAATTGCGTTCCCCTCTAGGTAAATCTAGTACTGTGTAGAGTTCCTTCAGTGTGGTAGTTTGCGGACTAAACAGGTGGAGTGTACAGCGGAGTGGGGGACCACAAAGGTCCCATCACCAACGAATGTAAAGTCTACACTCCCTCCACGTTCTAGAAACCCAAATTTTTCGTCAGAAATTTGACAAGTCTTGCTGTTAATTGTGTATTCAGAACGAGAGAGGTTGGACCGACGACTGACAGATTAACAAATTACAGTAGGCGTGTAAGTACCCCATGAGAAAGAATTAACATCAATAGAACAGTGTTTGGTAAATCCAAGAAAGATGTATGTTTACATTACAACTTCAGTCGATTTATAGCCGGAGTATCAATTGTAGATCGGTAAAGACCGTAGAGTTCTGGAGTACACGGGGGGGGCGGCTCGCTACCGCCGCCCCCACCTGATTCCATTCAACAGACGGAAATCTATTAACCGCTACCCACCAAAGAAACAATTTTAACTAAGTAATTGGAAGACTCTTTCCTATAAGTTGTGTCGTTCATGGGAGATAAATTTGCTCACTCCTTTTATATAACAAATTCATAATGGATTATCACCGTTTAAAATCGCGAGATAATTCTTTCCTTTTTACTGCGCCGTGAGTCTCTTTTTGAGTTCGCCAGATGCTGAGAATTCACAACAACGCTTCTGAATTTCCACACTCCATGCAATACTATATAGAGAGACGAGCTCATGTGAAAGAACAATATAGTACCTTAACAAGAA